CATTTGGATTACTGATTTTTCTTTTTTCATGAATAAATGAATCAGGCTGTCTTTTTTGAGAATTTTTTCCTTTCAACTTATTTATTTCTCGCCAAGTTTGTTTAGGATTATTGCTTGCCTTTTCAAAACGATTATTCACATGTTTGATTTTGGCCATCCTGATCAAATGATTGTATTTGTTTCTGAAAACCTTGTATTTTCTCTCATTTTCTTTGGTAGGATTGTTTAAGAATTTTTTGTAGAGCTTTTCTTTGACTTTAGCTGATTTTTTTAAGCCTTTGGTGAACCACCCACTCTTTATATTATTCTCCTTTTTGGGGTTCACTGGTTTCATATGAAATGGTTATTGTAAATTCTACAAAACTCCTCTAAGAATACATCATAGGCTTTGTTGGGATCGTTCTGAATATATGTATCTTTCGAGCTAGTCTTTGTTTCAATATAGTTGGAAAAGGACTCTAATGAGGATTTATTGATAATTCTGATTGCCTYCTCCTCATTATTTTCATTGATTGCAGTTGGATATATTGGCCTTTTAGTTATTGTAAAAATCGGTAAATGATCCGAAATATCGTTTATTAAATTGCTATTAAAATGCTCAGATGCTTGGTCATTAGTGAAAATGTTGTCTATGAGCGTATTACTTCTCTCAGTTAGTCGTGTAGGCTTTGTAATGAGAGGTCTAAGACCCGAAGAAGTGATAGTATTGAAGAATTTAGTTGAAAATTTGCAATGATTATATTTTAAAAGATCTATATTAAAGTTGCCTGCGATGTAACATGGTTTGTTTTTCTTGTCTAAGGTGGATAATATGGTGTTAAAATCAGCTTCAAAGTCGTCATATTTATTGTTTGGAGGTCTATATGTAACGCCAACTACAATATTTTTCCTTTTTCATTGTATACTTSAACAAAAAGGATTCCATTCTATCGATGTTTTCAAAACATAATTCGTCTCTTTTTCTGTACTTAAGTTTCTCAATTATAAAAAGACAAATTCCTCCACCTGTCTTATGCTTCCTGTTTAAGTGTAAAGGTGTAAAGCAGTGTAACCTGGGATTGAAAACATACAGTTTTCAGTTTCTGTTAACCAAGTTTCTGTTAAGGCAATGATTGAAAACTTATGTTCTAAGTTTTGTAGATAGTGGATAAATGCATCCAATTTAAATCGTATACTTCTAATATTTAGGTGTAGTAACGTTAGTTGTTTGTTATCGATAATTTTGGCAGATGAGATCTTATTTTTAAAATTTGATGTTGAATAAAACAGTGAGGTACTGTTATAGAGATATGTGCAATTCARGTCAGGATCTGTATCATTGCCCAGTATGACCTATGGAGCAAGATAAATAACAGTCTGCACKGAAAGACAGCATTATTATCTAATAATATCGGGGTTTTTTTTCATAAGCAAGAAACCGATGACCTACACAGTGGCGGATATAAAGCGAACCATATAAAGCAAGAGGGGCSACTAATTCAAGCAAAAGCAATAGGTATCCGGTCGTTTCGATCCAAAGTCGTTTCGATCCAAGTTGTTCGATCCATTTTTAGGACGTTTTGATCCACTGTTAGGACGTTTCGATCCACTTATATAACAACTCAAAATACATAAGTATTACTACAGATATGTCACAAAAAAGTATTTTGAGTTGTTATATAAGTGGATCGAAACGTCCTAACAGTGGATCGAAACGTCCTAAAAATGGATCGAAACAACTTGGATCAAAACGACTTTGGATCGAATTCAATTCAATTCAATTCAATTTTGATAGGAATGCGGAAAAAATGAAATCCCTTTGTTTTTGTGTCTTCTTCTTCAATCTTCTTTTTTTAGTTATTTTTTCTGTTATTCATGCATATCATGTCTATATTTCCATGCCCTAAAGGGGGGTCGCTAGCCACCATTAATTTGTTTTACACTTAATCTTTCTT